AACACTTTGTGAACGTAGTGGGGTACTCTAGCCAGGTTTAAATAAACTATCGATACATATGCATTTATATAAAATGAAGTGTCTGTCTGTAATATTAATATAAGTGACTTCTATTAACCTCATGGGGTTAATAATCTATACAAATAAATAAAATTGAAGTGTCTGTTTGTAATGTGAAAATTACAGAATTTTACTAAAGGCATATGAAAGTATATACGCTACTAATAACAAAAATACAATTTTTAAAGTTTTTATCTGTCTATCTGTCTGTCTGTCCGTCTGTCTGTCTGTTTGTTCCGGTTAATCTCCTAAACGGCTGGACCCATTTTGACGGGATTTTCACTGGCAGGTAGCTGGCGTCACAAGGAATAACATTGGCTAATTTTATTTTACAACAAGAATTAGGGTTCCGCGCAAAAAAATTAAAACCCCAAATAACACGCGGGCGAAGTCGCGAGGAACAGCTAGTTGAATAATAACATAAAACCATTTTAAAAATTTTGCCTGTTTGTCTGTCTGTCTATCTGTCTGTTTGTTTGGGCTAATTTTCGGAATGACTGAACCGATCGTAACGAAACTTTACGAACAGATAGAGAACAATGTCAGAGAGGATCTAGGCCATATTTTGTCCAAAAACGTGTAGACTTTTTTTTTTGAAAAAACTTAAAATTGGTAAAATATAATAAAGATCATGCCCAGGTGAAGCAGGGTACGATATTTATTTTATTTTACAAGCCGAGTCGCTGCTTTTTAATAAAACCTTAATCACTTTTAAAAAAAAATCGTTTCACCATTATTATTTATTCATTATGTTTTATTTTTTTATCCATTTGTAAATATTTTCCTAGCAATGTTTTAAAGGAGATGAACTTGATTCCATACAAGCTTGCGCCCGGCGTGAACAAACTTAAAATATGTGTTAGTTTGAACATTTAAATATTTGCTACTTATATCCAAAAATCATATTTTTGCCGAGCCTGGGGTTTTTGTTTTTATGTTGTTTTATGATTTGTAGGTTATGTAGTAAAATCACTCGTTCTTGTGATAGGTTCTTGGAATAAATTGAAAAAACACAAAAGAATGCAGTTTTGTAGTTATTATTATGTAAAGTAAAATAAAACTCAACCTTTTTTAATCGCTTAACTGTTTTCTGCAAAAATATATTATTTTATTCAATATTAATAACTACAGATTCGCGTTTATAAAAATAGCCTTCATTATCTATTGCCATAGACAGAACAGAAAGATATTTAAAAACGTTTCGTTTTTGCTAAAGCAAAAGCATTAGTTTTCTATTTCAGTTTTAAAAAAATGTTTTTATGATTGTCCCAAGCACTACAGAAATAAAAACCATTTATTTATGCTTATAATTTATCGCTATATTACATAAATATTTTTGTATAACTGTTACGAACGATGTCAACAACCCAATTTCATACATCTCCTTTGTAGACATCGATAATTATCGCCGCTATTAAATGCAAAAAATGTTAATTTTACTTCACTTCTATTAACCGCTATTAATTTCTAAATAGAACAAGGTTAAAATCGGTTACGTAATATCAATTATTATTCCAATATTTAATTCTAAGAGTTTTCTTTAAATACCATCTTTGTTTTGTAGCTATGACTATACATACAGATTATATAAAATTGAATTGTAAATAGTATGTACAATAAAAAAGACTGTCATGATTACCTCTACGAGAATATTGATAATCCTGCAGATAAATGTATATCGTGAAAAGGGAAATACGTGTAATGTTTCACACTTATCAGATAATCGTCGAGTGCATCGTGCACTCGTGACCATCGATAAAAGAATTGTATTATAATATCGATAACAGCATTCGAGAGCTTGCTCACACCTAGCGGCAGATCTCTAAGAACTGCCGCCCTGTAATTTGCCGACGGAGAGTGTTGGCTATTACAGCTGATAGCGAGATCATAATAAATACGCCATTAACGCCCCCGCAGCACCCGAAACGACATAACCACCCGATGTAACCTGTGTCTTATATCAGTCTTCAATCGGTATGCTGAGAAACTTTAATTAATTTATTAGAAGGACTTTTGAGTATTTAGAAAACTTCCATGTCGAGTTTAGTATTTTGTAAGAATTTTAATAGATTTGATAAGATAATTTATTGCCCCATTTCGTGCCATGGGTTTCGTAAGACGTGACTACGGTGAGTGACGAAGGTGTTACAGCTTTCAGAAGATGGCGGTATTGCCACCAGGAAGAGGTCCATGCAGCAGTGGACTCATAGTGGCTGAAAACTAGTAAAGCTTCTTCTTCATTATGGATGTTTTTAAGCCGTTACCACACAGCTAGCAAAATTTGTAGGTTATTTTTTTTCGGTTAATGTAAGTTTCCGCCCTTTGTTACCCTATTTATTATGGTGTTAACAATAAAGATTAAATAAGTAAATATATAAAACATTATATATCATTTATCAGGACAGTTGTAAGAAAATTAACTATGACTACCATTATTCAATGACCTAACACTATAGTTAACTAAATACCGATGCTATATCCTCAAGGTAAAACTCAGCAAGTCGAGAGACTCGTTGAGACTTAAACGTAATTTACATAAAGTTTAATAAACTAATTTACTGTTTCCAGTAACTATAAAGGATTTCACACATTACTTGCATTACTCGTAACCGCAAGAAACTCTGTACCACTGCCTCGCAATTCACCTTTATAATAATAATATAATATTTAAACTTAACTCCTCTATAACATTAAGACATTTAAAAGGTTGGCATTTTAAACTTATAACTTTTAATATCAAAAAGAGCATTTATTTACTTCTTAATTAACAACATAATAAAATTTCGAATCTACCGTGTGAAGTTGTTTTGACGTCAAAAAGATGTGTGAGATAATTTACGGTTACAGTGATATCCGACAATTACGGTTTTGAGGAAATCGGTACATAATAAAAAATCTATGTTACGGTTAGCGTGTGTGGGCACTACCTGTGTTCATCCCGGGCGAGGGCAGAGCGCGCCGGCGCCTGCGGCCAACCGACCGGTGATAGATTAAATTCGTCATGGCATCTCGTGATGTTATGCCAATTTTGAGGCTCGCCTCGACTCTGGAACATCGTCACGCTCATTTACTGTGCCCGTTCGGCGATCGTATTTCAAGAAGTACGCTGTTAATAATCGCTGGACGCTACTCGGGGCAACATAAAATCGTATAAGCCGTCCCTAAAGCTCGAAATCTATCGATGGGCGTGAAAGACTCATTATTGCACGCGTACGTTGTACATTTGTTTCGCTGAGAGGCGAAAATAGCGAGTTAGCGGGAAGCGTGCTCGGTGGCGGTCGCGACAACCTCCAGGAACCAATAAAGGCCATCACGCACTCCGTCGCTATAAAAGAGCCGAGACGAGTGCCCTGTTCGCCTCGTTAACAACGCACTGAGCACTCGTAAATGTGATTCAACGAATTGGTTAGGACATAAAAAAGTAAATAAGTTATTGGATAATATGGAAACAATTTAACTAAGAGATATCAGATACATTTTTGTCTATTATCCTAAATGAAACCGCATAAATGATGGTAATAAAAGTTTAAAGTGTATTACCAGCTTAAAGATATTCATAATGCCACCCAGCCATACTAGTATAACAACGTTTTATGAGATTCGAAAACGCCACATGGTTCGTCGGTGGCCGCGAGTCGTTCCCCGAACTCGGTTTATAGACTATGGGCCGCTGAAAACCAACGAACAGTCGAGTTCGCGAGACGTTCTCTTCGCAGAATTCGATTAGTTCGCACACTCCACGATAGTCTAACCAGTCTCACCGAAATAGTTGTTATTGCTATCTGCGCCGCTTCCTGTTCCTTAACACGTATGTCATTCCTTGAATACCGGCTACATATTGTTACGGATTATACATATGCGTTGTTAACCACAGCTGAGTGGTGCAGCCCGGTTGTTAAAGACCGCACGAGCCAGCGTGTCGTATTACTAACGTGTAATTTAATTTCCTTCGCCTCGATACTAATTGCAAAGAGCTGAGGCCATTAGCTAAGGCTTTTGCAAGTTTGTGTGTGAAGTAGTTCAAGTGATTCCTAGTGTGATATTAATAATTTGTAATTTCCTTCTTAAGCTAGTTTAAAAAGAAAGTTTACAACGCTCTCTTACAATTTATATTTAAAATATTTATAAAAACAAGGATATCGGGTGGCAGCCTCGGCCCCCAAGAGATGGAATAACTATTGGTAAGAGACGCAGGAAGTCGATGGATTCGGGTGGCTCTGGACCGGGCTTTGTAGCATTTCTTGGAGGAGAACTATGTTCAGCAGTGGATTTGTGAAAGACTGTAAAAAATGATGATGATGATGGAAAGTCAAGTTAGGCTATATAAAAAGTGTGCCATTGCTGGGCACAGACTTCCTCTCATTTCTGAGATGGTTACTAAGCAGTTAGTCCAGAGTGATCCTCTAGTGCGTTATGGCGGACTTTACATATTATCCTAGAAACATATTGTCAGCGAGAAAACGCATCTCGCGTTCTTGGCACCATACTGCCTATAGGAGTATTAATTTTAATTGCTTATATATGCCGTGCTTTGACTGACTCATTGGCCTAGTGATTGGAAACGCGACTGCTGATCAGGAAGTCCCGGGTTCGAATCTCGGGTCAGGCCAAAAAGTATCAGTTATTGAGTTTTTCGATCAAGAAATTCTCAGTAGCTGCCCGGAGTCAGGAAACTGGCGGTGTCTCACCTCCGTGCCTCGGAAAGCACGCAAAGCCGTTGGTCCTGCGCCTGATTTCTCTCCAGTAATGTCGGTATACCGTCCCATCGGACTATGAGAGTGAGGGAATAGAGAGTGCACCCGTGATTGCGCATATACTTGGACTAGTCTCCGTTGAGACCGGCCGCCGTGACCAAAATTCGGTCTGAGGACATTATTATTAATATTATAAGATTGTTTCCTCAACCCTTTTTTGATGTATACTCTTTTGTGCTTTCCCAGAGACCCAATGGAGCTAATGTTGATGGAACAGCAACTATTGCGGTCGCCACTGCGCTTGTACTCGAGCGGAACGAGTGTGGCGGGGGCCGAGGAGGAGGCGGAGAAGCGGGCAGCATGGGCACGGACCCCTCCTGCGCTGCAACTTCTGGCGTTAGGAGGGAGGGCTTGGCCTACCGCCTGGCCCCAGCCTCTAGCTCTACCCCCCGACTTGTGGCTCCAAAAGCCCCCCACCCCACTTCGGTACTGTCCATACCCACCGCCGGCGCATCCTGCTACACAACACCCACGTCCGGACCATTCTCCATCGCCGCGACATCCACTGTGAATATTAATTTTTAGAGGGACAAGATTCGGAATCCTAAAAGACATTATCGAAAAGTGCTGTGACGATAGATCTATAGGATGTTTGACCAAGTTTAACACTCGTCAGTTTTATGTTCAGCTTGATATTAGTTGGATGTGTTGAAATCGGTCCCACAAGTATTAAAAATATTTAAAGTAGAAGTAAGTCTATAGATCATTGTCAGTAACTGATTAATTAAAAATAGTTGTTTATATACTTACACTAAGGCGTAATTTGAATGTTCCTACCCGAGAAAATAATAAGTTTAATTGTACAGTTAGATCAATTTAAACAACAGTTACCTGCACGGATCACAATCGTTATCCTTGAAAATAATATTTTCTTGTTGTTCATAAAGTATATTTTTCCTGCTAATATCATCTGTCTACCTAAACTGCAATAAAACTACATCAATTAAAGATTTTTATTAACCAAAGAAATATAATTAACACCTTACAAACGGCCTCCATATAACTAGAATAATCCTGTGATCGCCAAATGAAAAAATACGGAACTATTTATTTAGTGTTCTATGAGGAACGATTAAAATAAATTAGTCGTTTTGGGCGGGGCTGTTTATCAGATAACAAAAATAATTTATGTTTCTTTGGGAGTCCAATATTATAGTAAGCAGTGCAGTGCTCTATAAACTCAAATTTGAGCACCTTACTCCCTTACAATAAGATTCATAATCGTACTGTTTATCTGTACAACGTGTAGAATTCGACTGACTGAAACAAAATATAACATTCCATCTTATAGTTTTCAAATTTTTGTTATGTGAACGTCTTTTCTTTATAAAAATTAAGACAGTAGGCTGTAGTGTCTGGCATAATAATGACTGTTCTAATTTTAATAGATATTCAAGACTATTCAAGATAGCGTTTATCGAGATATTGACCAACAATGATGAATGGAAAAAACACAAGTATTCACTACATTTTCACCTTGGAATTATTCTGAAATGTCATTTGTTTGTTTTTGTTATTCTTTAGTCGCATTACTTTGGAATCTTTTAGATTGTTTTCTATTTGTAAACAGTATCATTTTGTGTTTGAATATACAGCGTGTTAATCACGGAGTAAATAATAGAGGCTCGTATACTGTACTCAAAGCTTTTTCTGTTTCTCGATACACGTTGGTCTTGGTCTATCTAGAATGCTGTATTCCACCTTTGTTTGACTTGAAATTATGATATAATTTCTATTTAAGTTATATTATTCTGAATTACCTTCACTGTCAGCAACGTTCAGAGTATCTATAACATTGTACGTTGCAAGCAATCCAAGTGATATACCTACTATTTATTATATTACGACGTATTTGTGTACATTCTATAGCGTAAGTCTATTTATATTCCATTTGTGTATAACGTAAGAAATTGTATGTATTGTATAGTATTCAACTAAATTATTTTTGTAGAATAAGCATTGTAAATAAGCATCGTAGTTATTAGTAAACGGATAAGATATTTTGGGAAGGTAATGTGTAAGTAGGTAAATCGCGGTCGCTGCTCACTGCTGCGAAACTCATGGATTGCAAAAATCTGATAAAGTTACAATCGAATTAAATATGGTTTTATTATTAATTGAAATTATCCCAATACATACCGCTGCCGTGTGTACTTAATTGTAAAATTTTGTTGGTTAATTAAAAGTTTAACATATTTTTAATTTTGTTCTCTGTGACCAGTGTTTGATTATTATTATTATATATATTATTATTGTATATAGATTAGAGTCTACTACTAGTAGAGTATTAGACAATAATCAAACACCAATCTGGTCATAAGTGGTTATGTAGTCAAAGATGGAAAAACGCACTGACTTAGTTTAACAAATGCTTATTCACTCTTGCCTTGAAGGCACCTACATTGTATTCCGATGTAAAGAGTAAAGACAGATGCTGTTAATTTATTCCATTCCTTTGCTGTCTGCGTTACGAACTACAAAGCAAACCGTAGGGTCCGAATGCGTGGTATCGACAACAAAGGGGTGGAGACTGTTATAAGGAAGATGGAGGAATTTTATTTTAAAGCCAAATATCAATTGCAACATGTAAATTCTATGTATTATATAGCATCTTTTAAACCCAAACGTGTATTTTTTAAATTCTTAAGTCGAGTGAGTGCTTCTGTGTTAGAGCGGAAAGTTTAAGATGTGATAGTTGGACATTTGTGGCAAGTAGCACTTTATATCTTTTAAATCAGCTGAGAATGTAATCAACATCATCATTTTATATATAAAAATGTAACGTAAAATATATATACCAACACGGTAATGGCGTATGTACTGGAAAAGATTTCTAACATCTACGTCAATCAAAAATAGTCGAATTGTAACTTGTCGTCTTAAAAATCTAGAAGGTTCCATAATCATATCATATAAATATACATATGTATTGTTTTCATACTTAAATTTGTAATGATTACCTATTTATTTCGTTTAATAATAATAAAATTAATAAGTAATATTCTCATGTTAACATTAGGTATTTCATAATTTCATTGCACGTAACATCTAGGTACTCATTATTTTACTATTGATTTTATGCTGAGATTTAAAAATACATTTCTAATCTACTTTAATATGTAAAAGTGAGCAGCGCGCGAAAGTAGTGACACATATCAGGGTTTTGCCCTAAGTGTTAATAAATGAATAGAAATGATATTTTTGTTTTATTTAAAAAAATAATCCATAAGGCTCAACTTTTATTTACCCCTCGAAGACTCGCTGTTTTTGACTTTCTTAACTTGGTATATTACTTAAGCAAAATGGATCGAGTATAAAAAAAATCGATTATTTCATTGGCCCACTACAGTCTATAGTTGTAAGTTCATGGGCTTTTCCTTTTTTTCTTAAACCAGTACTCCACTGCGAACTCTATCATCATTACATCATCATCATTACAGCCCTTCACAAGTCCACTGCTGAACATAGGCCTCCCCCAAAGAATGCCACAAAGCACGGTCCTGAGCCACCTGCATCCATCGACTTCCTGCAAATCTTACCAGGTCGTCACTCCATCTAGTGGGGGGACGCCCTACACTTCGCCTGCCGGTACGAGGCTGCCACTCGAGAACCTTTCTTCCCCATCGGTTGTCGGTTCTTCGAGCTATATGGCCGGCCCATTGCCACTTCAGCTTACTAATCCGTTGGGCTATGTCGGTCACTCTGGTTCTACTGCGGATATCCTCATTTCTGAGTTTATCACGCAGAGAAACTCCGAGCATAGCCCTCTCCATAGCTCGCTGAGCGACCTTGAGCTTCCTCATCCGGCCAGCAGTGAAGGACCACGTCTCAGTTCCGTATGTCATCACTGGCAACACGCACTGGGTGTACAGTCTCGTTTTCAAGTTTTGAGGTATACCTGACGAGAAGATGTGCCGTAATTTCCCGAACGCTGCCCAACCGAGTTGAATCCGTCGATTGACCTCTCGGTCGAAGTTGGACTTACCTAGTCGGACTATTTGTCCCAGGTAAACATACTCGTCAACAACTTCGAGCTTAGTGTTCCCAACAACTACCGGCATAGGTGTGACATGGACATTAAACATGATCTTTGTTTTGTCCATGTTCATCTTAAGACCTATCCGTTGGGAAACACTATTGAGGTCATTGAGCATAGTGCTTAGGTCCTCCAGCGATTCTGCCATAAGGACTATATCGTCGGCAAATCGAAGGTGAGTGATGTACTCGCCATTGATGTTGATACCGTATCCTTTCCAGTCCAGAAGCTTGAAAACATCTTCCAATGCAGCGGTGAAGAGTTTCGGGGATATGACGTCACCCTGTCTTACACCTCTCTGCAATTGGATAGGTTTCGTACTCTGGTTCTGTACTCGGATAGCCATCGTAGCCCTACTGTACAAGCACTTCAACACTTCGATATACCGACAGTCAACTTGGCATCGCTGAAGGGACTGCAGCACCGCCCAAATTTCAACGGAATCAAAGGCTTTCTCATAGTCCACATACGCCAGACATAGTGGCAAATTGTACTCCTCGGACTTCTGTACAATTTGCCGAAGGGTATGTATGTGGTCTATGGTGCTAAAGCCTTTTCGGAAACCGGCTTGTTCGGGAGGCTGGAAGTCGTCAAGTCTGCGCGCGAGACGATTCGTAATGACTCTCGAAAACAGCACGTAGACGCGGCTCAGAAGGGAAATCGGTCTGTAGTTCTTCAAGAGAGCGTTGTCGCCTTTCTTGAAGAACAAGACCACCGCACTTCCGCTCCACGCCTCCGGTGTAATGCCACCATGAAGGACGGAATTAAAGAGCTTCTGAAGGACTTCAAGTACCGGTTTTCCACCCGCTTTCAGAAGCTCCGCTGTAATTCCATCCTGGCCTGGGGCCTTGCCGTTTTTAAGGTGCTGGAGAGCCATTCTAATCTCGCTCAGACTGACGTCCGGGATATCATCGGAATAATGCCGGATAAGACTCGCTCTTGGATCGTTACTCACACTTGCGTGTGGCTCCAACGATGACGTGTACAGCTGCCCATAGAACCTCTCAATCTCACTCAAAATCTCAGGTGCCCCGGAAACGATGCTGCCACATTCGGTCTTCAGCTTTGACAGTTGGCTCTTTCTGGCAGACAGATCTCTGGCAAAGACTTTGGAGCCTTGGTTCCGCTCGATCGCTTCTTCAATACGAGCTGTATTGTAGTTGCGTAAATCCCGCCGCATGCATTTGGAGATCTGTCTGTTCAGTTGCCTGTATGCTGTCAAATCTGTTGAAGAATGTAGCTTCATCTCCCGTCTAACAGCCATGAGATTAAGAGTGTGATCGGAGAGTTTTTGTGTTCTTCTGCGGCGGGTCTTGCAGAACTTAGCTCCGACCGCATGGACAGTTTCCACGAGCTTGTCATTCAAATCGTCCACTTCATTGCAGTCTTCTAGGCACTGAAAACGGTTTTGCAACTCGAGCTGAAAGGTTTCGGGACTTTGGATTAGAGCACGAGGGGGACGGAGCGTTGACTTC